AGAGTTAGGGGGCTTTAAATCCATAATGCCACGTGGGACATTTACAAGACAAGATAAGTTTCCAATGATGTTTACATGTGGGCATGTTTTTAACTTTACCTTTGGTATCTTTGATGTGCATTACCTCGTATCATCCTAACAAGTAAATAGTTTTTAAGTTTCAAAACTTTATTATTTGCTTGTCTTTAGTGTTTGTCATCAATCACCTAAATCAGGGAGATTGTAGGAGGATCGATTTTGGATTTTCATTTGTTACTTTGGATTTAGTCTGTTAATTGTATTATTTTGGCTGGATGGATAATCAATTGTAAGTAATTATTTTGTAGTTCAATAGATGCAGACATGACTTGGATGACGTAAAGATGATCCGACTGAATCGCACCTTGGCAGACCTAAACTGGGGAGTTCAGGATATTAAGCAAAAGTCAAGCAAAGATAAAGAATAAGCGGACGCATGAATCATGAAAAATGACTTCTGAGGAGAGAATGGCTGAATACTGGCCCACTCAGGCGTCAATGCTCGCTGGCATCATGGCAATAAGATCGCGAAATTCAAGTAACGAATGACATTGTGCTGTTATTGTCCAATCGAGGGCGGTACCTGGTATGCAGACCTTCTGGAACTGCAAATTGAAGTCAAGGTTCTAGAGCGGCGCCAGCGTGACCGGATGCGTTCGATCGACAGTGACCGGACTCAGCGCCGAGTCCGATCAACGCGCTAGCTTCAATGGTCGGGACGACCGGACGTGTCCAGTCAGGACAACAGCAGCGTCCGGTCAGTAGCAAAAAGCTGGGTTTCATCCCCAACGGCTACTTTCTCTATGGGGCTTATAAATAGACCCCCAACCGGCCATTTGGTAGTGGTGGAGCTAAGGAAACATACCAAGGGTGTTAATACACCATTTTAGTGATCTCCACTTGCATAGTGTTTAGTGATTTATTAGGTGATTAGCGTAGGTGCTTTGCGAAGTGTTTAGGTTGATTAGACCACCATTTATGCGCTTGCTCTAAGTTTAGGCCTAGTGTTTAGTGAGGTTTGCATACCTCTTACCACTCGGTGCTTGCGCGCACCATTGTTGCACATTGGATGGGCTTGCAGTCTTACGAGATCACACCAACCATGTTTGTGGTGTGGCCGCCACCGTGTACCGGAGGGAACAAGGCCCATGGCCGGAAGCTTGATAGTGAAGACGGCGGGGACATCCGGAGAGATTTGCCGAAGGCACGTCGGAGACCCACTTGCGTGGGGAAGGCCCGAGGCTATCCATGGAGTTACCCGACTAGGAGCTTGGCCCTTGCGAGGGATTCCTTGCGAGGGGCTCTAACCTGGACTAGGGGAAAGCTTGCGTGCTTCTCCATACCTCGGTAAAAATACCGGAGTCGTCGACGAGTTTGCATATCTCTACCTTACTTTTTAGCTTCGCATTTATATTACAATCTTGGTGTGTGCTTTACTTTTCTAGCTTAGTGATAGGCTAGTTGATAGGTTTGAAACCTAGGTTGCATAACTCTTTTTGCGATAGAGATAGCAACACACTAGCAAAACTGTAGTTGCACATTTAGATAATTTATCTTTTGCATAGGTTTTTGCTAAGGATAAAAGAGGCCATAGTTTAGAGTTAGAGTTTTAAGTTGCCTAATTCACCCCCTCTTAGGCGTCACGGTCCTCATTGCCTAAGTCCAAATTGTAGATAATTTCTCCCGAATATCACTTTCAAAATGATTTTCATATTCATGTGATGTCATCTTTCAAGTGGTATTTTTATTCTAAAATCAATGTGCTGTCTCCTACAAGTATTCCATACTTGTGTGCACAAATTTAGGGAGAGGTTACTCTACAAGTTGGATGCTTTGAGACTAACACCTTTTCAAGCTTATCATGTGTGTAGTAGTCTCATTGCAAGGAAAATGGAGTTCCCGGAGTTAAGCATCATACTTCAAATATCCACCACCTATTGCAAGTGGTATAAATCAAATTGGTTTCCACATGTGGTATTTCTAAACCGGTATCAACATGTTGATTTCACTTTGGTATTTATATGCTTTCTCCATGCATTATATAGATTAAACTTCTTTGAGCATTAATTTACCAATTATGCATAAACTTCATTCTCCATCATATGTATGCATATATTTTGGGGAGCTTAGTCTTTGTAATGTGAGTCAAATTTTATGACATATTCCACTCCACATACAAAGGATCACAAAGTTTGACCCTCCTTATGCTACTAATATCTTTCTTTTCGATGTTTGATTCCAAGGGGGAATTTGTAGGAACAAAAGCAAGCCCGATCATAAAAATTTATAAGTGGTAATGGTCCGAAAATGGGAGGATAGTGGATTATGGAGTTAGGGAAGGCTTAAATCCATAATGTCACATGGGGACATTTACAAGGGCAAGATAAGTTTCCAAAGATGTTTACATGTGGTATGTTTTAGTTTTACATGTGGTATCTTTTAGCATCATATAACCTTGCCCTTTGCATTGCATCCTAGCAAGTAAATAGTTTTTAAATTCCAAAAAATTTATTATTTGCTTGCTTTGATCGTGTTGTCATCAATCACCAAAAAGGGGGAGATTGCAAGGAAAATAGACCCTAGGCCCATTTACTTTAGATTTTGGTGTTTGATGACCAACACAACGAAATTGGACTAATGAATTTACAAATAATTATTTTATAGTTTAATAGGGTGCAAGACGTGACTTAGACGAAGGCGACATGATGATCCCATGATCAACACCATAATCAAGACCCTAGAAGCACAAGAGAAGACCCAGGATATCAAGCATATTCCAAGAACGAAGGTGGGAACCAAGCCGGACGCAAGATCGTGAAGAAACGAGCTCGGCAGAGGTGACCGGGAGCTGCCCTTATAGGGACTTGACGCGTCCCACGTTCGATCAGTTGCTCGGCAATAGCAGGCGTCAGCAGCTGTGACCGAACGTTGAGTGAAGCAGTGACCGGACGCACCGATGACACTGTTCTTCGTCACGACAATGTTTTTAGCGTGACCGGACGCAGCGGCACTAGACGACCGAACGCACAAAGTACAGCGTCCGATCGAATATAGAGAGGTTTCAGAGCGGCACCAGCGCGATTGGACGCGTCCGATCGAGTGAGACCAGACTCGACCTAGAGTCTGATCAACGCGCGCGCTCTAACGGTTGGGACGACCGGACGCATCCGGTCAGGACGACAACAACATCCGTCGAGTAGAAAGCTAGGTTTAACTCAAGCGGCTACTTTCTTGGTGGGGCTTATAAATAGACCCCCCAACTGGCCATTTGAGATGTGGAGAGTTGAGGAAATACACCAAGGGTGTTGATACACCATTTTAGTAATCTCCACTTGCACAGTGCTTAATGATTCATTAGGTGATTAGCATAGGTGCTTTGCGAAGTGCTTAGGTTGATTAGACCACCGCTTATGCGCTTGCTCTAGGTTTAAGCCTAGTGTTTAGTGAGGTTTGCATACCTCTTACCACTCGGTGCTTGCGCGCACTTTCATTGTTGTACATCGAAGGGCTTGTAGTCTTGCGAGATCACACCAACCACGTTTGTGGTGTGTCCGCCATCGTGTACCGGAGGAACAAGGCCCGGCGTTTCGCCGAAGCTATATAGTGAAGACGACGGAGGCGGTCCGGAGAGGCTTTGCCACGAGTGGCTTAACGAAGCCCGCTTGCGTGGGGAAGGCCGAGCTATCAAGCGGAGTTACCCGACCGGGAGCTTGACCCTTGGGATTCCTTGCGAGGGCTCCAACAAGGACTAAGGGAAGCTTGGCGCTTCTCGATACCTCGGTAAAAATACCGGAGTCGTCGACGGAGTTTGCATATCTCTACCTTATTCTTTAGCTTCCGCATTTACATTGTTTGCATAACTCCTTTTGTGATAGAGATAGCAACACACTAGCAAAATCATAGTTGCACATTTAGATAGTTTATCTTTTTGCATAGGGTTTGCTAATGATAGAAAATGAGGGCATTGTTTAGAATTAGAGTTTTAAGTTGTCTAATTCACCCTACTCTTAGACGTCATGGTCCCTTTCACTAGAAAATCTTAAGTGTGGGATATTTGGACTGGCCGCTGAGTAAGGACGGACTGTCTGGAAAAGTATTTTAGAAGACTTAGAGAAAAATTTTGTGTAGAGTTGACGGACTATTCGCTGTCCGGGGCTATGGAATCTATGCAAATTCAAAATACAGAACCAGATCATGACAAATATAATCTATAATCTCAACTGTTCGAATCATCTAGCAATTATTTTATCAAAATCGAAAGTTGATCCCAATAAACCCCTAATTATCATGTGACATTTCTTACATTGCCAACATAAACTTAAATTATGGGTTTCATAAGCATCATTAATGCATAAAGAATCGACACATTATACTACTCTTATGACATTTGGTTCAAGGTACGAGACAGGACGGGATGGGGGCGATCCCATTACCAGTGGTGTTAAGGACGTCCCGAGTGATACTATCGATTTGCTAGCTTAGCTGGAAGTGAGAGAGTGAAAAAATTATTATCTTATTTCCTTCCTCCCCACTTGCAGAGCATTGCCGTAAATCTCGCTCTCACAATTCTCGATCCTAGCGAAATCGCCTGACGATTATCTCGACGCTAGAGAGATGCTTTTTTCATTGTTTAATATTTCCACGCTGGGCGAAGCTGGCGACGTAGCCAGTCATTGAGGTCGCCCTAAGCGGCAAATGAAAAGACCATTGGCCCCTCAAACCTATTTAAAACCTTTTGTAATAAATTTTCTAATAAAATAAAAATGTTTTAAAATCGGTAGATATTTTAAAAGACATTGAAAAATTCTCGTTGACAATAATTATTTGTAACCGAAGTTGATGGGCTATAAAATTATTGTAGTATATTATAGAATTTGAATTCGCCAGCTTGACTTCTGTTCTGTTATTCCCATTCCCACGGGACAAACCAAATCCGAAGAACAAAAAAGCGGATTTTCACCCCCACATCCCAATCGAATCAGATGAGAAGCAGGAGGCCACTCCGCGATCTCCTCCCGCGCCTGCCCAAACCCACCGATACCCCCGCCCAAATCCGCCAGAAGCTACAACTTTCCACCAAATCCGGCCAGGATGCGGCGCAATCCGCCGCCGCCGACCCAGCCCGCGCGGTGTCGCTCCTGTCCGAGCGGGAATGGTTCGCTCAGATCAACTCGGAGTTCGCCGCCGCACTCCGGCAGCTGGGCCCGCGGTTCGTCGTCCGCGCGCTGCATCACGCCGCCGGGGAGCCGCTCCTCTGCGTGCGCCTCTATGTCTGGGCGTCGCGGTTCGGCCAGCGCTTCGCGCGGGACCGGTCCGTGCGGCGCGCGCTCGGGGACGCGCTGTGGCGGCGCGGGCCCGTGGTGCTCTCCGCGGCGCTGGTCGCCGACGTGCGCGGGTGCGGCTGCGAGGTCTCGGAGGAGCTGCTGTGCGTGCTGGTGGAGAGCTGGGGCAGGCTCGGGCTGGCGCACTACGCGCACGAGGTGTTCGTGCAAATGCCGCGCCTCGGGCTGCGCCCCAGCACGGCCGTCTACAACGCTGTGATCGCGGCATCGGTGCGGGCAGGCGCGGTGGACGCCGCGTACCTCAGGTTCCAGCAGATGCCTGCGGACGGGTGCCGGCCGGACAGCTTCACGTACAACACGCTCGTGCACGGAGTCTGCCGGCGTGGGATTGTCGACGAGGCACTGAGGCTGGTGAAGCAAATGGAGGGGGCGGGGATCAGGCCGAATGTTTTCACATACACGATGCTGGTCGATGGGTTCTGCAATGCTGGCAGGGCTGATGAAGTTTTTGGTGTGTTGGAGAGGATGAAGGAGAAGGGTGTGTCGGTGACTGAGGCTACATACAGGGCTCTTGTTCATGGTTCATTTCGTTGCCACGGGAAAGAAAGGGCATACAGGATGCTGAGTGAGTGGATTGAGAGTGATCCTGCTGTGCCTTCCAGTGCATATCATACTTTGCTGTATTGCCTCTCGAAGAATGACATGGCCAAAGAGGCAGTTGAGTTTGTGAAGCAGATGAGCAAAAGGGGATCTCTCCTTGACGGCACAACATTCAGCATTGTGATCCCTTGCGCTGTGAAAATCTTGGAGTCGAGTGATCTGTGTGAGCTGGTAGATGATTTCATCAAGAAAGGTGGGAATCTGGGATTTGATATGCATATTATGATTATCAAATCCTTGCTGAGGTGCAAGGATATCTCAAAGGCAAATAAGTATTTAAGTCAGATGGTTTCAGATGGGCTTTTGTCTAGTGTGGCATCCTACAACATGGTGGTTGATTGCCTTGCCAAGGCAGGTGAGGTGGAAAGAGCACTGGAGACCGTCAAAGTTATGCAAGAGTCAGGTTTCTCTCCTAATCTCGTAACTTTTAACACACTGATAAATGGATATTTAAAACTAAGCAATGTACATGATGCAAAAGCAGTTCTTAAGATGCTCATGGAACATGGTTTCATGCCAGATGTCATTACGTTTACCTCCCTTATTGACGGGCTATGTCGTACCCATCAGCTGGATGATGCCTTTACTTGCTTCAGTGAGATGTCTGAGTGGGGTGTTAGGCCGAATGTGCAGACTTACAATGTTCTAATACACGGATTGTGTTCAGCAGGGCATGTCAACAAGGCCATTGAAGTTCTGAATAAGATGAAAATGGATGGTATTACACCTGATGCATATTCCTTCAATGCACCTATTTTGAGTTTTTGCAGGATGAGAAAATTAGAGAAAGCTCAGAAATTTTTTAATGCCATGTCAAAGTATGGTGTATCTCCAGACAGTTACACATACAATGCCCTGATAAAAGCTCTATGTGATGAAAGAAGAGTTGATGAAGCTAAAGAAATTCTACTTGCAATGGAGTCCAGTTCCTGCATTGCTGCTAATCAACATACGTATTGGCCAGTTATTGGTGCACTTACTAAAATTGGACGATTCAGTGAGGCGGGAATGTTCATGAATAAAATCCATAGAAAAACTGCCCACTTAGGTTCCAGTGCTTGTTTAAGGGTAGGGTCAGATATTTTGGTCCAGACTGTCAAAGCATGACTTATCAGTTACATGATATTTTGCTACATGAATGCTGCCCTCTCCTTCGATGAACAGATCTATATCCGTATATCCTCATCTCTGCTAAGCTACTGTACAACTAATGTCTACCATTGCTTCACATGATCTATTTCAGTCGTGCTTATTATCTCCACCCTTTGTTTTCCTATTGAGCCATCCATAATAGTGGTGACAGTGTGCTTGCATTCTGTCAGAAAATGTTGATCAAGAATTGGGCTTCTTAGTGCCTTGAAGAATTGGGCACTGGGATGCACGGCATTTCAAGGATGCAATGAATTTGGACTTGTCCCTCTGAAACCTATTCAGAACAATTTGGTATGTTTCTCTATCATCTGTTACCTATTATGTTAAAAATTGTCTACATAATGTGACAAGCTTTACGCAACTCTATTGATTCTTTCAGCATGTAATTACTGGCTAGAGAAATTCTAGAAAGAGTTATGCCCTACATTCTTGGCCTTATTCATGCTTGATAAAGAAACAGGAAACAGAAAATTTTCTTCAGAAAAAAACTGTCACCTTGTGGATATACATGAATCAGGATGCAGTACTACATGATACATTTCTATGAACTGTAGGCTATAGCTTGCTACCCTACAAATTTGGTCTTTAAGCACTCAATCGACGCAGCCAAGGACATCAGGTCTTTAGTTTTTTTTCCCCTTCCTTAGCCTTGACGATGCCCGCCAACTCTGAGCCTGGTTGGTCATTCACCACCGTTGCATTACCTTTGAAAGTGATAAAGTTGTTCCTCTGTCACATAGTCTGACAGTGCTGAGTTAAACAGCCACTTCATCACTAGCGGTGCTCATTTCTTGTTCTGGTGAATCATCCTTGCAATGTTCTTATGCTCTGCAACTTCACACTGTTTTTTTCTTCATCTTTCATCATTTGTCTTCTTGTTTTTACAGGGCATGCAACATCTAAAACGATTGGCACACTCAGGCGAAATATCCAGGACCAGGCAAATGGAAAATATTGAGGCAGTTGTGATGGCAATAAATAAATCTGCAAACAACCACTCATTCGTGGCAAGGCTAGCGAAGCCATTAAAATCAAATAGCGATCAAACATGGTAAACATTTCGGCTATTGGGGTAGATATTCACACCGGTTCTTCCTCGAGATAAACACGACAGATTCTATCTGAAGCCTTCTTATGCCAAGATAAAAGTGTAGGACCGATAAATGCATGGGATTTTTTTTAAAGCTCTGATTAGTACAACGAATGGGAACCCGTGTGCAACATGTGTATAATTCGGATGGATGGCTAAGCGGAGGCAGACGATCACAGCAGAGATGTGTTTGTCCAGGTTTCCCCTTCACGCCGCAGGTGCCCAAGTCCAACGCCGCAGATTTGGCGAATGGTAGACCTGTCAATGCCACTTGGCCCTGTCAACAATTGTCACGTAATGGTCCAAAGTTAAGGCTGACTCGAATTGTTCCTTTTTCAAATATTTTTTGGAAATATAATACCGCACTTGGCAGTTTTTGTTGTTGTCACACACGGCAGTTGATATGTTGGCTCCCAAAGTAGCAGCTTCCATTGAACATGACGTGCTGGTCCAATGCAACTCATTTTTAAATTTGTAGACTAGTTGTGAACTAGACAAGTGAAAAGCACACAGTAATTCTCACTCTTTCTCAGCATTGGATTAATTGGTCAGGACACATGTAATATTGTTACATACTCTAGACGAGTATGGCATTGCTAGAACATCATAGAAAAGTAAAAAAAAAACAGAAAATACATACTCTAGACGAGTATGGCATTGCTAGAACAACAAAAAAAAAGGAAAAAAAAACTATAAGAACCAGATTTTGATCCTGGGACATGTGGGTTATGGTCCCACCACGCTACCGCTGAGCCATTCTGATCTTTATGTGTACAAGCATATGATTTTCTTTATGACGTTTAGGTAGAAAGCAAACAAGCATATGATTTTCTTTATGACATTTAGGTACAAAGCAAACAGTCATTCCCAAACCTCGCGGCCTCGCCCCGTTCGACATTATGTAGTTTTTGTTTGACGAAAGGCGACAGTCTTTATATCTATATATCTAATAATAAAAAATAAAACGCCAAGCGCCAAAGGGGGGAAATAAATCCAGTGCCAGGCCGCCAGAGGTCCTAATGTTTGTTGCATGCGAGATACCCATAACTCTATTTAATAATAAGGACAAACAGGAAAAATGCACTCTAATTAATCACTTCTTGTACGCTAAATCCTATCAAAACAACCTGAATTACCTGTATGGAGAGAGTATCTCTGCACCTAAAATATACCGTGGGCTATCATCGGACGTCGCCCCGCTCACCTCCCTGTCTCTGGTTCTCCTCTGCCTCCGAACTTTCACTCTGATGTGGGCTGAGGTATTTTTTTTACCATGAAAATCAATGATCTGAAATAAAGTGACAAAAATTAGAGTGAAACAAATGGCAAGAGAGGCCTTCTTGAGAAAGTAGAAAATTACGAAAAGAGACGGATCTACCTACAAATCAAATGATGCAAATATCACGTTCAAAATAGTAAAATAAACGTTTAAACTTGAGTTATCGTGCTACTATCTTTTCCGTTGCTAAGATCTAGCTACAAATACAATGCTGCAAACAACACGCTCAAAGTAGTACAACAAACGTTCAAACTTCAGTTATCGTGGTACTATTTTTTCCGCTGCAAAGATCTAGCTACAAATAGAATGCTGCAAACACCACGCTCAAAGTAGTACAACAAAATGTTCAAACTTCAGCTATCGTGGTACTATTTTTTTTCCTGCTGCAAAGATCTAGCTACAAATAGAATGCTGCACACACCATCCTCAAAGTAGTACAACAAACGTTCAAACTTGAGTTATCGTGGTACTAACTTTTTCCTCAAAGGCCTTGTTCGCTGGGAGAAATTTAGAGGAATCTGTACGAATTTGTGAGAGAAAAACACTGTTCCGGATGAAAAAAAAAAGCAGATCAAGCCGGGTTTAAGGGCACACGAACGGGGCCAAAGTAGTACAACAAACATTCAAACTTGAGTTACCGTGGTACTTACTTTTTCCTCAAAGTAGTACAAAAGACGTTCAAACTTGAGTTATCGTGGTACTAACTTTTTCCGGTTGCAACTACACCTAAACAATAAATAGGATTATTGTCTGCGTCTACGTCTGAACGTTTAAACTTGAATTATCGTGGTACTATCTTTTTCCATTGCTAAGATCTAGCTACAAATATAATGCTGCAAACATCACGCTCAAAGTAGTACAACAAATGTTCAAACTTCAATTGTCGTGATACTATTTTTTTGGCTGCAAAGATCTAGCTACAAATAGGATGATGCAAACACCACACTCAAAGTAGTACAACAAACGTTCAAACTTGAGTTATCGTGGTACTATTTTTTCTGTTACAACGCATGAGCACGATTCTATCTCTACACCTAAAATAATAATAAGGTTATTATCTGTGTCTGCGTCCTGCACCGCCCTGCTCGACCCTGTCCACAAGAGTGGAAAAAGTTGAGAATGATGTGGGGAGTGAATAGAAAGGCAATATGGTTCCGATTGATAAATCATTAAAGATAAAAAAAATAAAGAAGACCTGAATGGCTTTGAAAATAGTTTAGAATTCCAAATGCAAAATTGTTTATTACTTTTTATTATTATTTTTCTTTAAAATGATCAAATTCGTCACCATGCAACGTACAAACATATATCTAGTAATAATAAAAGAATTTTTTTACTAAAAGAAATAATAACATTTTCAATATATGTATCCGAAAGAAATAATAACACACGGGCACATGCCAACGGTGGGCATATAAGGCGGAAGTGCATATAACGGCGGAGCGGAAGTGCATAAAACGGCGGAAGTGCATCACAAGCAGCCATGAGAGCACTAGCAATACTGCTAGTGGCCTTCGTGACGTTCGCCAACAACTCGTCCCGCCTCCAGCCCCCCAGAAGGCGCGGGCGATCAGGGATGGATCTAATGGTGGGGATGCAGGCTGAGTCGTTCGTCATGGACAATCGGCCCAACGCACCGTCTCAGCTTTTTTTTTATTGTCTCCTTCTTGAACGATGCCATCTGTAAGCTCCGTCTCACGTGCATGACAGACGACGAGAAGATCTATGCCAAGTTGTCATAAGGTTACTCTTAGTGAGAATTTCATGATAGTTTTATAGTTTTATAGGTATTAAAATAAGCTCAACTCAATATATGAATAAAAAAAGATAATCAAAGTTTTATGAGTTAAAATGAGTTTTATGGAGAATAGACTAGTATTACAGCAATGGTCAAAATGCTTTGGCCTAGTTGAACACTTACAACCTGTTTGGTTTGCCGGATGAAGTAGCCCGGGTCATATAGTCACTCCGGACGAGGTGGCCCCTCCATTAGGAATGAGTTGATTCCACAGATTGAGCTGCAACCGTAACTGCTTGGCGCCGGACGATTCTATGACCTTGGATATCCACAACACAAGACAATGGACCACATCATCAAAGGTGATCCAGCCCACAAGATTAAGACATGCACCGTAAGACTACATAAAGATATGATTTATTGTATAATACTAAATAGAATAGGTAGGAGTCTCTTAGACATGATATATCGAATCTGATACATAATCAATATAAAATAACAGAGCACATGATGTAGGATGTTACGTCAAACTGACGGCCCGAACCTGTTTAAATCTTCTTTTGTCTTGTGTCTCTGTTACCGTCTAGTTCGTATCACACGTACTTCCACCGATTCATCTGTGGGTATCGTTGACTGTGGCGCGCCAGGTAGCGATTACGACCTACAGCGGGGACTCGCCGTGCTTCCCGCATGAGCTGTCCTGCTGACAGATTGGATCGGCAAGCGTCCCGGGCAATCCGGTGTGCTTTATCTCCGTGCCCGCTGAGCCGACCGTCGACTGGCCGAGAGGCACAGATGCCATCGCCAACGACACCACGCGGCACCAAGCTAATCAAGATTGAAAGCATGCATGCACCTACCATGTAAGATGATTAATTAAAGATATGAAATTCGTGGGACCACGAGCGTACATCAACATGTAAGCCAAACTCACATCTACGTGTGTGCATCATGGAGCATGCACACACATACTCTGGAGCATTAGCCACGTTCGACTACCACAACGAATTGCCGAACAAGCTAAGTCGATCATTTAATCTTCATTGTAATATCCTATGGTATAGTATGTGTTCAGAAGTCTACATATGCGTAAGATTATTTTGGCAGGAATCCAATTGCGCTCGTCGTCGTTGTGCGTCGTCTCGCATTGGTGGCACGGATCTCGTCGGCAAGCCTCTGGCTCGTTCGTAAGAGCATCAAATTCGATGCCGAAGAGCAACTCGAACAAGCTCGGTCCAGTAGAGGTCTGACGACGGCCTTGCCTCCTACGCGTGCGGAGTACACTACGTCACACATGGTTTGTAGGGGCAGCTCAAGGCCATCTGTAGGTGCGGTTTGACCAGCTGTCCCTACCAAATCGTCTCTACAAATCATGTATTTGTAGGGGCGGTTCCCAGACCACCCCTACAAATCGATTTGTAGAGGCGGCTGGTGTCTACAAATCAATTTATAGGGGCGGCTGTAGTACCAGCCACCCCTATAATACCTATTTGTAGGGACGGTTCAGTCTAGAACCGTCCCTACAGTACATTTTCCCGTAAAAAAATCAAACTTACAATTCAAATTCAACCAGAACATACATATGGCCCTGTTTGTTTCCGCGTATTCCCACATTCGCGTTGCGAGTGAGTGAGGAAAGCGAGATAATCCCACCGAATGCCCCGCGACCAACGTTTCGAACCGCATTCACTCAAGAGTATTATATAAACTACAAGCACAAGAATATTATATAAACTACAATTACAAGTCCAATTCACAAGAATATATACAATCCATCATTAAATAGATATAATTCATAAGGTAAAACCAATGTCAAATTCCATATACATTGTTATCAACGGCCTAGAGCTAGCCTTTCAGTCTCACGAAGGTGTTGGTACTGAGAATTTCTACCTAAGTCAGACTCTCGGTCATGGTAGGTGCCTTTAACGTGTACAATCTGGTCCAA